ATAATAGTGAAGGCAAACATAAACCCAATTAAACTGTGCTTTCTTACTAGATATAAGCTTAAATACGATTTTTAGTACAAATAAAAGTGAATTTCTGAATTTTAAGTACACAATAAAACAATTATTGTTGTAGTATAACTTTTGGCCTTTAGAAGGAATAGATTTCAATTGGACTTTAATCAAATTATGTTTGGCACTGTTCCCTGAAATGTTCATGTACTGGACAGTGTCAACTCCTCACCATTCTCTTAGTAATTTTTATTTTTGGAATTTGATTAGGTTAACAATGTAATCTTTCTTTTCTACTATTAATTTTTTTTGCTTTATTCCTTAAAGGGTACAGAAATCTCATTAGTAATTTGAAACATCTTCATAGTTGGTGCAGTCTGGTTGTGTTTTTCAGACCTCACATATTATGATGGAAAAGAACAGATGAACATAAAGCAAGAGACCCAGTCCATGTGAAATTTCTTATTAGAAAGGGGGAATAAGTTAATCTGGAGAGGCAGGACAGGCAGAGCTGATACAGTTAGGACGTGCGTCAGAGGCGTGAAAGCGAGGAACAGTGAGTCCGTGGCAGGTGGCTTCCTGGGACGCTCAGAGTCGAATTCAGGACAGGACGTGCACCTGGGGCCTCCAGGGAATCCAGGTGAATGGGACTTTTTCTCTCTCAGAATAGAGGATCAAGTTGCAGGAAATATGGTGATAATATTCTTTAAATATTACTCAGTAACTTTTCTGGGCAATGAAACCATAGTAAAATCTCTATGGTTTTAACAAGTAACATATCTCTTTGTTGCTCACCTATAATAAAATGACATTTCAATGCAAATTACTTGAATTTGAGGCCTTAGTTAACAGTTACACAATAAGTAATTAATGGAAAAAGCAGACGGTCCTTCATTCCTCCTCAGCCCTTCAGAGCTCATGACTTCAGAGAAGCGTCCCCTGGCAGCCCAGGTCTGTGTAGGTGACCTTGTTATCCGCACATTTCCTCTGTGTCTCTGCTGCGCTCCCCACGCGTGCAGAGGTGCTCCCCTGTCCTCGGGCTGGAGCCTCAGCTTCAGAGCGCAGGGACGGTGTTCCCAGCGCCCTGGGCAGGCACTGTGGGGGGCGTGCCCGAGTCTTAGTCTTCGGTGAGTGCGCACAGGAGTCCGGGAGGGGGTAGGTAGGCCACACGTTGAATTTCATCTGTGCAAAGCTCCTTTCAGACAGGTATGTTGGGGCAGAGAGAATAGCCCACGAGGATTTATTTTTAAAACTATTTAGAAAAACCTGAGGGAGGGGTAAATTTTAGAAGTTAAGAGACGTATGGATATAGGCTAGGGATGCCTATTTGTTTCCTAGCCTTCTTATCTTATTTCTGATGAAGGTGTTAAAGAAAATGAAGGAACTGGAAAAGACAGCTGTCTTTCTAGTCAAGCGTTAGAGTTTCACTAAGGGTGAGGCCAGGTACGGGTATCTTTACTTAACACGCTTTTAATTTAACTCAATCTATTTAAAATTTTTAATTTGCATGTATATTGCTTAATATTTGTAATTTTATATACATAAAGGTGCTTAAAAATAAAACTACTTTACTTTACCTAAAGGCAGTACACTTAATTTAAGGCCAAATACATAATGTGTTTGATCAGCTCATAAGCAGTGGTAGAATCTATTGATGGTCTGTCTTCATGTTTCTTTTCTAGAGTTGATCCTTTACTCTGAGTGGTCATACTGTGCTAATGAAAAAGTTAGAATCTGCTCGTGTTGACCTAATACATCTCATCAGTTCTGCACGAAATTGTTTTAAAAAGTTTAAGAGGCTTATAATATGTGACACATGTATGTTTTTATAGTGAATAATTTATTGTTACTTAGAACTGAAGTTTAATGCTGCCTCATAAATTTTACAACCACTTCAACTTGTCCTTTGAAAAACCTCTTTAATCTTAAAAGATTTTCCCCCTTAGTGTTTCTTTTTTGATCACTATAAAATCCTGCTTTACTTAGGCCTTTTTGTATGTGAAGTATTTCTCATGGCATTTTAGATTATGCTGTTTGTGTCCTGGCCTTTTCATATTATTAAAGATGCAGAGGCCTTTTGAAGCCTCTTTGCCAGGACTCCTGTTCAGTAGAGATGGTGCCTGTCCCGTACCTTTATTCTTCCTGCAGTGCGTGTCACGTGGCCGCATCCTAAACACATTAGATGTATAGTGAGGTCGTACACTCTGAGGCTTATTCTCATGCTTTTCTCCTCAAATACACACTGCACACAAGTAAACTTAGCATTTTACTTCAGTTTCAACATGGAACTAGTCCTGTCCTGGTTTTATCCTTTGCTTCCCTTTTTCATAGTTCTTGGTTTAATGTTATGTTATTACCCCATAGTTTATTTTAGAAAAACCACTTTCCAAATTGCATTGCCATATTATTAGAGATCTTTTATTATAATTTTATATCAAATATATGATTCTTTTGTCGACAGTGAAATATCCGAGTTACATTTGAGTTTGGAGCACGATTTTACAAAATGTTAGAGCTCTCCCCTGTACAGTTTGGGTACTTTCCTGTAGCTGGACCGCTGTGAGTTATGTCCACGTGAGTTACTTCCTGGTCGTCTTCCAGGTGCTTAGCTCTGAGTGATGGTAAAGGCCCGCCTTGTCTCTGTGGTGCCCAGACCTGCAGGTGGCCCCGCGATGCTGCTGTGGGCACTGACGGCCTTGCCCGGTCCCCTCTCCTTGAGTGTGGGCAGGACCTGTGAGGGCATCTCACCAGCAGGATATGGCCGAGGTGACGGGCTGTCACTTCCGTGAGTGCCAGGCGGTGCTGGAGACTGCCCTGCCTGCAGACGGGCCCTCGGGGCCTGCTGCCTGCCTTGCTGCTGAGGAGCGGGCTGCCCTGAGTCTGTGGCCGGAGGAGGTGGAGCTGCCGACAGCTGTGACCGCCGGCAAGGTGGGCTCCTCCCTCCAGGTGGGGACCCGGCCCCGGGCAGACCCCGCGCGCAGCCTCGTGCGGCCCTGCGCAGGGGCTCCGGTGTGGCAGCGTCCGCACTGCTGACCCACGGAAACGGGGAGAAACGTGGGTGGCGTTGAAAGTGTCTGTCCGTGGTAGTTGGTTATGCAGCAGTAGATGACTAGTTCTCTTTTTATCCTCATGTTAGAAGATTGTGCAGTCACATGCGGTACATTCTTGTGAAAATCTCAGTGTAGGCCTGCAAAGAGTAGAACTCTCCACTTCCGCGTGAGAGTTGCAGGCGTCCGTGCTTGGGTGTGTCTCACTCCACGCGCACACACACCCACAGGTGTGTAGCAAGATTGTAGTCGGCTTGTGCTACGCGTGCTGTTCTTGTGTCACATGACTGTTTTAATCCCGTGTCATGTGACCTTTGCGATCTTTTTAACACAGGTGATAATCCATAGTGTGGATTTACTGTAACCAATCTGTCTCTGTTGCTGGTGGTGCTTTAGCATTATAAAGTATGTCCTAGTTGACATCCCAGTACATGTATCATGATGAACCTGTGTGTGCTTGGGCTGTTATTGATTCTGTAGCCAGGAACAGTGAAACATGTAATGGGCTGTTGGTGGGATTATTAGTAGGTTCAACATCTTGTACAGAAAAATATCTAGGCTAGTATGGAGTGATGTCTCAGATATGTGAAGTTCAAAAAAAGTACGTAAAAGTAGTACGCTTCCATTTGTGTGTGCATATCTCTTAAAAAGGACATGTGGATGTGGATGTGCACACGTGTGTGGAGTATTTCTGGGTGCCATGTGTGAAGCTGTTTTACGTCTAGGGAGTGGGGTAATCTGGTGTGAAAAGTTAAAAACTTTCTTTATACATGTGTCTGTTACTTTTAATAACCACACTTATTTTTTGATAGGAAGTGTCAAGTTGCCTTCCAAAATGCTCTCATTAAAATACTCAGCCATACACACTCTTTAGATTAGTTATGCACATTAATGAATCTAACCATGTATAGCAAATACACAGATTTAAACAGAAGGATGAAACTTTGCCAATAGATAGTGTTTGTGGGTTATGCTTAGATTTCTAATTTGTTAAAACAGGAACCAAGTGAGGCAAGTTGTACATTTATGGAGCACCTACTGTACGCTAAATGCTATTCTAGAAATCTTTGGTAAGTTATCTGACTTCATCCTCTAGAATTCTGTGAGGATGACAGCTGCCCTTTGTATTTATTGAGGAGGTTACTGCTTCAGTAAGGTCAATAAACTCCCCAGTGGTGGATGCAGAATTGGAATCTAGGTCTTAAAATCCCAGGCCCTGTGTTCTTTCTGGTAGACCATGCAGGCATGAGTACTTTTTTTGCAGCAAATATGGAAACTTCACTTTAATCCTTTTCCCTGCCTTGAGCTTTCTTAGCAGTCTTGGGTGACTGTGCCTTTGTTCATGGTTATTTGTGGGTTGAGTGAAATGAGGCAGTTTGCCTTTGTTTAAATATCACTTCTGACACTTGGCAACTGCCTGTCCTCAGGCAAGTTCCTTCCTTTCTCCCAACCCAGTGTCAGCCTTTGTGAGAGGCAGACGGCAGTGCTGACCCCAGAGCAGCGAGGCTGGGGGAGCCCGGCCTGTCGCCTTTGACGTGGGACCCGTCACTCCCCACCTTCGGGGTGCGGGGGTCCTTCACGTGGGCTGGCTTGTTAGCTTGGCTCCTCTTCTGGTGCTCTCATGATCTGATCTTCCCGAAAGTGTTGTCTTAAATCCATTGGTCATTAATTATTTTCAGTTTAAAAGTAATTTTGTGTTCATGAGAAAAGGAAATTAACGGCTGTGCAGAAGGGTTCTGATTGTAAGTGTGAATCCTGCACATTCTCAGAATAAAGAGAGGGAATAGTATTTTAGAAGAGGCTTTTGGGAGCTCCTTAGTGGTCCAGAGGTATTAGGACTCATCATGCCAGGGCCTGGGTTCAATCCCTGGTCCGAGAATGAAAATCCCGTAAGCCATGCAGCACAGCCAAAGAAATTAGAAATAAAGTGAAAAGAAAAGAGGCTTTGAAGCAATCTTTATTTGGATAACTCAGCAAGTCCCCTTTTCCAGAACAGAGGGAACACAATGTGGCTGGCCCTGGTTTTAAACATTTCCCCACACCACGCGTTAGAAGCTGCCTACGTAGGGTTAGACTTCAGTTCTTGTCGTCTCCGTGTATTTCTTGGTGTGCACTATTTCAAAGACAGACACAAAGACAGTAGGTTGTATTCTTGTCCTACAGTTCTGTGGAAGAGGTTTTGAAGCTTCTTTGTAATGGCTGGTAATTATTTTTATGAGTTTTCAACCAAGTATGATGTGGTCTGGTAGCTTATCACCAAAGTGTAGTTAGGTCCTGGGGTGAGGAAAGATGAAAAAGAATGATTTAATGCCACATTATTTTTAACTTGAAACTTTGGTTAAGAGTTATGAGTTAGAGAGCAAAGAGTAACGTCGAATAAACCCCAACCTTTAAACTATGCTTTGCATGGAAGAAAGACAGTTCCGGTCATTTTAGAGGACTTTGTTGTTGAAAAAGAAGGCATTAGTAGCTTAGATTTCTTTAGATGCCACTTTATAAAGTGTCACGATGCTTGAAGAGTCAGAATGCTTAAAAACTCTAGGAGCCTGCAAGCAGAATTACTATCTCCTAGGTGGTGCTAGTGGTGAAGAACCCTTCTGCCAGTGCAGGAGATGAAAGAGATGCGGGTTCGATTCTTAGGTCAGGAAGATCCCCTGGAGGCGGCAATGACAGCCCACTCCAGTATTCTTGCCTGGAGAATCCCATGGCCAGAGGAGCCTGGAGGGAGCGGGTGGGTACTGTCCAGGCAGCAAAGAGTCAGATATGACTGCCTGACTAAGCACATGTATTACTTTTACCATGTTAGATTTAGGTTAACTTTGTATAAAGGAAAGTTTTATCTTTTAATTCATGCCGTGTCCTTTAAATAGCATATACGTTCACACCTTTAAGAAAGGACTTGGGGAATAATTATCCTATTTTAAGTGAGGATGCGTGCTAAGTCACTTCAGCTGTGTCTGACTTTTTGTGACCCCATGGACTGTAGCCCACCAGGCTTCTCTGTCCATGGGGATTCTTCAGGCAAGGATACTGGAGTGGGTTGCCATGCCCTCCTCAAATGAGGATAGAGGACTCTAATTTCTGCATCTTGCTTTAATGAGATCTTTCCATGGGTTATTTCATGCCAGATTTTAGTCTGGAATTAAGAATCTAATTATAGTCCTGCCCTTATGGAAAATATGATTTGCTTTACAATGATCCTCTTTAACATGTGGTTTTCCAGTAATGATTGTGGCGAAAAGCTGAGACTCCGTGCCCTTTAAGTGTCTCCCAAGACAGCCAGCCCTTCGCTTGCGGCTGCAGTTTAAACACGTCGCCAGCAGATGGTGATCAAGTAACGAAAACGTGCTCCTGCTTGCGTATGAATACGTTGATATGTGAAAAAACATTTTTGCTTTAAAAATATTGATTTAATTTTTAGTGTGCATACTCAGACAGCATAATAGACAGACTCTTTAATTTGTTCAGCTCCATTTTCATGTGTAAACGACACTGACCTGTAAACGGCCCCCGCTTCTCAGCTGCTGGATGAACTTATGGGGGAGCTGATCGTCACCTTGCCTTCCCTGGGCTTGTCGATGCCCGCGGGCTCAGGTGGTCAGGGTTAGACATGGTGCAGCACTCTCAAGTGTTATCACGGCAGTGCGTTCCCTTCAGTTAAGAGTCGCCCTGCTGCTGAGGCCGACCTGTCTGCGGTGGTGCCTTGCGTGTGTTCCGGCCGCTGTGTGCGCCACGGGTGTCCTGCCGCGGTGCGGTGTGGCGCGTCTGTGGCCGGCCCGTGTCTCCGCGCCTGTTCACACCTGGTTGGCGAGCGCCAAAGGGTGGCCGGTGTATCCCTGAGAACGGACTGTTGCGTTTGTATTAACTCAGAGAGCGTGTGGGGCTTGGAGATGGAGACCTGGGCTTCCTGGCGGATGGGGTCTGCTCTCTGCAGGGAGGTCAGGTGGCTAGGGAGTGGGGCAGGGAGGTCAGGTGGTTAGGGAGTGGGCGTTGGGTCCTGGCACATCTCAGCCACCTCTGCCCGGGGAGACTGTGTTCTGGGCAGGTGTCTCCCTTTGTTGGTGAGGATCATTCGTGGTCAGTGGTTGGTCTCAGCTGGTCAGCCTAAGGTTTCAGAGGAGCTTCCCCAACTGGTCTGTTTGGAAGAAAGAAAGATTGATCATTTCCCTTAACTTACTGAAAGAAGGATCAGCCTTGTTCATCCTTTTGTTTGGAGAGAACTTTAGTATGGAACAAATATGATTGATGTGGTCTTCTTGCTAGAATGGAGGCTTGTCAGGTGGACGTTTAACCTTAGCTGTTGGGAGTGAGACTGCCTCACCAACGAAGAACAGACCTTTCTCAGGACCCTCAATTCAGCGGTGCTTTCACTCACTCGTGGGACCACTTAACTGGCCACTAATTTTCAACAGTGATGTGCTAATTAAATATCCTTCTTAGGTGTTTACCAAGACAAGGCCAAGCGACAACCATTTGTAACTGAGATGGAATGGCTCTGAAAGTAATGACCTGGCATTTCTTTTAGGCTGTTTAAATTTTTTTTATTGAGTCAGACTTTTGATAAATTTAGTCACTTCTTTTTTAAACATTTTTAATGAGTGGGGCTTTGTAATAAGTATCTTTTTATTTCACAAGAAAGTTTCCTTTTGTGAGATCATAATATCGAACAGTTTAGTTTTGATGTTCTTTTAAGCAGAAAAGGATGACAGTAAGCTTATACGTGTATTGTATAACAATTTAAAGGGAATTAAAATACTTTCTGGAATGTTGATACTGTTAAACCAGAGATATGTTAATAAACATAGATTTAAATGTGTTGACTTCTAAAGATGGTTTCTATTTTTAAGTGTAAAGTCAAATGTGTTATTCTAAAGTAGTAAATGGGAAAAATATTAAAGTCTTAAAATGTTTATGAATCTCCAGTCAGTTTTTAGTTTTGTCAGGCTTCTCACTTTTTAAAATTTAGTTTTGTTTTTCTTTTTATTCCTAATAAAGTTCCCTTTGAAATATTAAAGTAAATATGTTGTAGATCCTTGTAAATTATTTTCATTTTCTTATTTTCAGTGTTATTTCATACTTTACTGTAGTAGTTGTTGCTAGTTATTTGTATGTTTCATTGATGTTAGCAATACGGTAAGAAGACTTCTGCAGGTGGTTTATAACAGTATTAATTGCTAATTAGATGAATGCAAAGACATGAAATCTAAAGTTAGTTCTCATTTTAGTTTTCTGATTTATAATACAATAGTTGTATTACTCTTAAAATGTTTTGCAACTGTGAAACATAGCATGTGTGTAAAAACTATATGAAAATTCATTTAAAGACCATTATAAAATAAACATCCCTATACTTTTGACCCAGCCAAGAAGTAGCGCTTTTACCGAATCCCGGAGACCTGCCATCCTTTGCCTTGGTGCCTCTGCTTCCCATATCCTGAAAGACCCAGTGTCCTGTATTTTGTGTTAACTATTTCTTTGCCTCTTTTTTAAACTTCATGTAAGTGAGACCCTACTGTATATATTATTTTGAAGCTTGCTTCCTTTTCTCATATTTTTCAGATTCATTCATGTTAATAAATGTAGCTGTAGTTCATTCTTTGTTTTGTAGGAAACTTTTAAAGTCAGTGTATAACATGACATCAGGACTCACAGATCTGAAGTGTGGTGCTTGATGCAAATTCATAAAGTGACTGCATCCGTGTGTCCTCTTCTAGGTCAAGACAGAGACCACTGCCAGCTCCCCAGAAAGCCCTCTCTTTCCCCAGCCATTTATCATCCCCCAGAAGGTGATCACTATTCTGCAATATATGACCATAGATTAGTTTTCAGTTCATGAAGTGTCTTCACTCTCTTCTAGCTGCTTTTGCTCAACATTGTGTTGTGAGATTGATCCATGTTGTTGCATTTAGCAGTGGGTTATTTTTACTTTATCATTGTGTGAATATGTCACACTTACATATCCATTTTGCCCGTTGTTGGTTGTTTGGGAGTTTTTCCAGTTTTTGGCAATCACAGATAACCCTGTGAGCATTCTTGCCCATGTCTTCTAGTGCCCACAAGCACACTGTATTTGCTTGGAGGTGTAAGTGCGGTAGATACTGCCAGAGTTTTACATGATGTCTGTAGCAGTTTACTCTGCCACCAGGAGGGTTTAAGAGTCTGTCTCACATCCTTAGCAGTTCTTGGTTTGTCAGCTTCTCCAGCTTTAGCCTACATTCTAGTATAGTGGATGTGGGTTTTAATTTGCATCTTCCCTCATTACTGATGATATTGAGCTTTTCTATGCCTGATATAATATTGATATTTTCTATGCTTTATAGCCATTTGGGTATCTTCTTTTGTGAAATTCAATTTGTCTCTGTCCACATTGTAATAAAAATGGTTCGTCAGTCTTTTCTCCATAGATTTGTTACAACTCTTTATATATTCATAAACAATTTCTTTGATACATATATGGCAAATATCTTCTCCCACTTTCACTGATTTGTTCTGTTGAACAATATTCAATTATAATGTAAATTATTTTTAGTCAGTCATCTGGGATATTGTCTGTGTTTTTTTGTGTCCGATTTAAAATTTTTTGCCTTGCCTGTTCTAAGATCATGGGAATGTTTGCCTTGTTACCTTCTAAAATGTTCCTTATTTAACCCTTGGGATTGTGCTACTTATGGAGCTGGTTTTTATGTATAAAGTGAGGTAGGGGTCATTCCGCCACCCCTCCTGTGGATAGTTGATAGCCATTTGATCCATTAACAGTTAGAAGAGCTATTCTTTCCCCACTACTGTGGTTGACACCATTATTGTAAACCAGAAAACCTTGTTGGTGTGGGTTCCTGGACCCCTGTCCCCTCCTGTGATCTCTTTGTCTGTCTGTGTACTAATACTACACCCCCTTAGTTGCCACAGCTTTAAAATAAGTCTTGATTTTTCACAGATTAGTGCATGCATTACAGCTTTCCTCTTTGAGACTTCCTTGGTTCTTTTTGGTCCCTTGTATTGCCATATGAGTTTTAGAATTACCTTGCCAGTTTTTATAATGCCCATACATTGAGATTTTGCTCCTGTTGAGATTTTGGTTGAGAATGCATTGAGTCTATAGATCAGTTTGGGAAGACTGTATCAGTAATTCATTCCTTTTTATTCTTGAATGGTGTTTCATTGATGAGTATATCACATTTCTTTATCCATTTACTAGTTAACAGATATTTGGATTGTTAGTTTTTAACTATTCTGAAAAACACTACTATGGACTTTCATATACATATTTTTGCTTGGTCATTTGTTTTTCATTTCTTTTGTGTAGATATCTAGCAGTGAGTTGTGTGGTAAGTTTATTTTTAACCTTTTTTAGGGAATCAAACCCTTTTCTAAAATGGCAGTGCCATTTTACATCCCCATGAGTGTTCCAGTTTCTTCACATCCTAAACTGTTGATATTGTCAGTGTTTTAGGTTTTGGTCATTTTAATAAGCATATAGTGGTGTCTATCTCATTATGGTTTTGATTAACATTTCTCTAATGACTAATGATGCTGAGCATTTTTTCATGTACTCACTGCCCATTTGTATATCTTCTTTGGAGAAATGTCTATTCCAATAGTTACCTGCTTCCCACACACCCAACATACAATAATCACTATAGACATTTCTAAAAAGGAGAATGATAGGACGTACAAAGGAGTCAATAGCAATTCTGAAGCCCAGTTGGGCAAATGTTGAAAGTTCCTTAATTAGAGTTCAAGACCTGGATATAATATTCTGTGTCTCTTGGCTCCTCCAAGTAGGAGGAGGCTTTTGATTCTACCTTCTGAGTTATCCTTTGTTTTTCATGAAAAATAGTATGTGTTTGCAGTTGGGTAGTTCTCTTAGTATGCTTCCTTCCAGAAGAATTTTGGGAGTCCAGTGGCCCCTTTTCATTTTTACCCTGTCCTTTTTGGTCCAAGAGCAGTGATTTTGCTAGTATAATTTTGTCAGAACCTTTGTAGGCCTCCCGTGAATCCTGTGTGTAGGGAAACTAGAAATCACTATCTGTAGTAAAACTGGAAAATTCATGAATATGTGGGAATTAAATAACAAACTCTTGATCAAGCAAAGAAGATATCAAATGGGAAATTAGAAAACATTTTGAGACAAATGAAAACACAACATACCAAAACTTAGGGGATGCAGTAAAAACAGTGCTATGTGGGGAATTTATAGTTGTCAAACTTACATGAAAAAAGAAGGAAGATCTCACATCAGCAAATTTATATCTTAAGTAACTAGAAAAAGAACAAACTGAAGCTAGCAGAAGAGAGGAAATGATAAAAATTAGGGTAGAAATAAACAAAAATAAATATTGGAAAAAGCATTAGAGAAAATCAAGGAAACCAAGATTTTTTTTTAATTAACAGAAGTGACAAACTTTTAGCTGAATTGTCTACAAAAAAAGACTCATCTGACATCAGAGATGAAAGAAGGGACATTAGCACTAATTTTACAGAAATAAAAAGGATTATAAGTGAGTACAGGAAGCAGTTGTGAATCAACAAATTGGATTACCTTGATTAAGTGGGTAAATTTCTAAGAACACACAATCTACCCAGACCAAATCATGAAGAAGAACAGACCTACAATTAGTAAGGAGACTGAAAGTGAAATTCGCTCAGTCATGTCCGATCTTTTCCAGCCCCATGGACTGTAGTCCATGGAATCAAGGAGACTGAAGCCATCTTCGAAACCTCCCACCAGAGAAAAGCCTAGGACCAGACAGCTTCACTGGTGAGTTCTGTTGCTGTGCTGTCGTGACTGAGTCTTTGTGACCTCGTGGACCGCAGCATGCCAGGCTCCCCTGTCCTTCACCATCTCCCAGAGTGTGCTCAGGTTTATGTTCATTGAGTCAGTGATACTATCTAACCATCTCATCCTCTGGTTAATTCTATCACACATTTAAAGAAGAGTTAGCACCTGTTCTCCTTAACTCTTCCAGAATTGAAGAGCAGAGAAGCGGGTACTTCTAGGCTTATGTGTGAGGCTAGCACTACCGTGGTGCCAATGCCAGACAACACACTATGAAAAAAGAAAACTACAGACCAATATTCCTGGTGTGCACTGATGAAAAAATCCCTCAGAAAAATGCTAGGAAACAATTCAACAGCATTATACACCATGACAAAGTGGGATGTATTCTTAGAATGCAAGGAAAATTTGACAAGTGGAACAATGATTATAATATAGAATGATGGAAAAAAGCCACACAATTGTCTCAGAAATTGATGCAGAGAAAGATGTGACAACTCATTATCAGAGAAATGCAAATCAAAACCACAATGAGGTACCATTATACGCCAGTCAGGATGGCTGCTATCCAAAAGTCTACAAGCAATAAATGCTGGAGAGGGTGTGGAGAAAAGGGAACCCTCTTACACTGTTGGTGGGAATGCAAA